ACATTTGTAATTTTTCATTCAAATGTGGTAAAAATGTCATTTAACACAAACTTAACTTATTACAAAATGATTGTCATAACTTATTATTTTTCGGCTAAAGTATGTATACCTTTGATTCTTTAACTTTACATAAAATTTTATTTTGATCCTTTAATTTTAAAAAGTAAATTTTTAATCCTCTAACTTTAGAATCGTTAGCCAAAAAAGATGATATTGAGCTCTTGAATGTTGATAAAACATTACTAAATGCTATAATATTAAGTTTAATCTTCAAAACAATTATGATTGTTACAAAAAAAAATCATCACGCAAGACTAACAATTTTAGAATTAAAAGACTAAAAGTATACTTTTTAAAGTTAAGAGACCAAACAAAAACCTTACATGCAGATGTATATTTTAGCCTTATTTTTCATACTACACTTGCTAATCAAATGTGGAAACAATCTTAATTCAAACTGAATCATTTAATAATCACAAATTCAACTATCATTTTAGCAATACTAATTTATTTGAGAAAATGTATGACTTATTTTTCATGCACTTCACAAAATGTAACACATCTAGGTTGTTACTATTGACAATTGATAAATATAAAGTGCCTATTTGGCAGGGCGTTTGTGGAGCTTAAAAGTAGCTTATTGGTACCATAAGCTCGATCTGCAATTTTGACCTGTTTGGCATGGCTTATGGGTCATCCTACTTATAGCTGAAAAGTAAGATTGAATCGCAGGATTGGAGAAGCTGTTTTGAGTAGCTTATTTATGATTTTCACTGTACTTGTGGAAGTCTGCTTCATTTTATTCTCTCTCTTTCTCTCACATTTGAAAGTGTCTGATTTATCCTCCCATCGACAAAAGGTAGAGCATCACAGCCTCCACCGTGAGTTTCGTCGCGTCGTCGTCGTGAACACATCTACTACTGTGTCATCGCGCTTTCTCAACTCCTTTTCTCAGAAGCAACAATGTTAGAAAACGAAGGGTCCGAGGTAGTGGTACTGGTAGGCTACAAAGCTTTCATTTAGAAAAAGGGTGGGAGCTTTTGTTTAGAAAAGACGCAGAATAAAAGATTGGGAAGGAGAAGGAGAAAGAGAAAGAGGGGTAGGGTGGGTAAAAGCTAAATTGAAATAATAAAATAAGATTGATAAAAAGTTGTTTTGATTATTATATGCTTTTACATCATATAATAAATTTAAATTATTTCAAAACCAGAATGCTTAGTAAAAGCTGAATTTTATTATGTTTTCACAAACTAATTTTTCTGAACTCTAATCTAAACACAATTCAGCTTATCCAATTTAGTTTTTACTCAACTTCACTTTTTCATAAGCCAAATTGACAATAAGCTATTTTTCCAATCGCTAATCCAAACAGACCCAAAATGAGGACATTGTTGTGCCCATTAACAAAAAAACTACAATTTTCAGATTATCATATAATGTTACTGCCATCATAGCAATAAGTTTGTAGTTACAATGCCACTATGAAAGATTACAACAATGGTATGTGAAATAACAAAAAACCAGTACATATTTGACAACAATCATTTTTTATAATATTTAGTGACAAGTGCACATTAAGATGGTCACTTAATGTTCTCTTATCACCAAATAGATTACATACAAAAAGTGGTGTGCACACCTACTTACACTCTCCTTCCAAAAAGCAAATTATGAAGGGAACTTTCTATGAACACAATCACAAAATTGTTATTATCTATATACAAGTCAAAAACATAATTTTCTTCTTTCTCTTGTTTTCCCCTTTTTTTTTTTTTTAATTTTAGTTGCCAAGCTAACGAACCCATGTCTTGAAGTTTAAAACATATATAACAGTAAACCACAAAACCACGGACTAGCTAGCAAATTCACAAGTTTTAATGTATTTGATTATGTTCTCGTACATATGTATAGTGTTAATTATTCAAACATATATAATCTCTTTCAATTGTGCCTGTTTTTATCATTAATTATTCAACCACAGAGCCCTTGGGCCTCCAAATTCATCTCCATTATGTCTATTTTCATCAACTGAGATCTTCTGCCTTTGGCATGCCTATTCCACGTAACAAATTTATGCGAAAAACGGAGGTCAACAATAATTTAATGAATTTTAGTAGAATCAAATGAATTTCTACGCGTTGCATGACAATTTATTTTTAAAACAGCTGTATGCATTGCATGACAATTTTTCATTAGAATCATCAGATGAATTAGTGAAAATGTATTTGCCTATAATTTTCATACAATGTGAGTTAACTTACAGATAATGCCAATTAAACCTTCAGCCTCCCGAATGCTGATATATGTGCTTAAAGTACATGCAACTGCTATTTGGTAAATCCAGGTCGTTGCTAAGGTGTCTAAGTTTATATTTAACAAGGTTAATAACGAAAATATTTCACTGCCAAATGACAAAAATGGTAAGCCAAATGATAAGAGTGGTAAGTGAACTAACAATTATGTGACTGTGTTTCTCATGAGATTAAGTTTCATGAAAAGTTGTTATTATTTTCACATTTCACTACCAAATGACAAGAGTGGTAAGCTAAATAATAAGTTTGATAAGTGAAATTATAAGCATGTGCCTAGGTTTCTAATGAAATTAAGTTTCATGAAAAGTTGTTATTATTTTCACATTTCACTATCAAATAACAAGAACAGTAAATCAAATGACAAGAATGGTAAGCAAAATAACAATTCTCTTATTAAGTTTCATAGAAAGTTACCATTATTTTTATATTTTACTATCAAATGGCAAGAGTATGAAGCCAAATGACAAAAGTAGTAAGTCAAATAATAAGTTTGGTAAGGGAAATTACAAGTTTGTGACTAGGTTTCTCATTAACTTCAAAATATTAAATAGATCTATGTTGTTACCATTTAAAATTGATAAATACAAAATGTTAGCATTTTTTTTATCCATAGACAAAAAACTAACATTTCTAGATCATAATGTCATGTTGTTGTCATCATAGTAACAAGTCTGCAATTACAATACAACAAAACGAAATTACAACAATAGTAAGCCAAATAACAAAAAACTAGATGTGCTTTGACAGCAACTAGTTTTTACAAGATTTAGTGACAAATGCACTTCAAGCTACAACCTCCTCTAACTACATCTTTTATCATTAATTTCATGTCTCATTCTCTTCCACTGCATGACCTAGCGACCCACACCGCAACCCATGACGCCATGCCAATCATGAAGCATACTAGTAGTGTCCTAGGTAGATGGAACCTCATTCTCTCCAACATTGATTCTTTATACCATTTCCAGAGCACCATTGCTATTAACTTGAATTTGATTAATCTTGCCAACTAGCATTAACGACAGGTCACCAGTTTTTTTATAATGAAAATCGATAGGTATGGCTACAACCTTAATCTCATTGATAAATGCGTATGTAGCTAGATGATTAGTGTTGGGAGGGAAAGGAGTAGAAGGACAAAGAGAAGAAGAGAAGAAGAGAAGGATGAGAGAGAGAGAGAGAGAGAGAGAAGAAGAAGAAGAAGAAAATAGAAAAAGAGATGGGGTGATGGAATAAACAGAAAAAGGGCATTTTAGTCTTTTGGATTTCACTTTATAATTGCAATTTAAGACCCAGTCTCCCCAAACAATTTAGTTTATTCAGGTTGCATTTTGCTATTTTGCTAATTTAGGGATCATTTTTTTTTCAATTTTCCCTTAATTTTTTTTAATATTTTGAGATATTTTCAAATTATTTTTTCCTTTCAATTTTTGACTTCACATTCTATATCATACCATCGATCAAAGAAGATATCAACATGTTTCTAAAATTTAAACCTAGATAGATTATATTAAGGGAGAATTAATCTCCCAGTCCTTCTAAAATCAGCTATTTTTGAATCAAGTCCTTCTAGTTTTTTTCTTTTTAATGAAATCCTTTATGTTTGCTCAGTTACATGTATTAGTCCTTCCATCCATAAAACCTGAATATTCCATTACTTTGAATCGACGGAAATGAGGTGGCACTGATTAGGCTAATCTTCTTCCTCACTCGTGCTAACTCTCTGCGTGAAGAAAGATGTTTTCCCATACTTCTTCTGCACCCACCCTGATCTTGCAAGGAAAAAGAAATTCTTACAATCGATTGCCATTGTAAAGGGATTATTTGGTGAGAAGAAATCACGATGGCACATGGTCCCTGTGCATAGCCTTTTCCACCCAAACAAAGCCAATGGTATTATACGCAAGGTCTCAATTGCTATAACGGGAATGTGTGACCTTGGGCAAGAGAGAAATTTTACAGGATTCGACCCAGTGAGTTTGATTCTCATCAACATCTTCACTTCGCCATTGTTCTCATAGGCTCGCCAACCACCAAGAGTTGCCTTCCCTCAGTTGCTGCTATTTTCAATTTGAGCATGCTTCAGATGGAGAAACTTAAGGCGATCAATGAAGATTTTTGTTTATAAATCTCAGAGCCAAATTATTGTGCAAAAGTTGTGTCGTTGGATTTGAACATGGCTGGGTTTTGAATGTGTTTGCTTTAGAACGGTGGGGTTGGGCTGGGTGGGAAATATAGAGCATCCTTGTCTGGGAGATTCAGCGACGGTGGGGAAGAAGATTAGCCTAGTTAGCGCCACATCACCTCTGTCAATTCAAAGTAACGGAATATTTACGTTTTATGGATGGAAGGACTAACATATGTAACTGGGCAAACATAAAGGATTTCATTAAAAAGAAAAAAACTAGAAAGACCTGATTAAAAAATCGTAGATTTTAGAAGGATTGGGAGATTAATTCTCCCTTATATTAACAAACGAGATATAAGTATTGATAGTTAAATTTAAGTATCTTGGCAAAAAAAAAATTAATAATTATTTTCATACATGTTAAAGAAATATTATTTGAGAATAAATAAATTGATAAAAATATATTCTTCATTTTCTTCCATATCTGTTATGCGCTAAATTTGCCCCAAGTACCCAAGCAGCACCATGCTTAATTTTTTTTTTTTTTAAAAAATTGAATGTACTCGGATAAAATTTTTTTGCCAGTGATAATAATCAATCCTTGCCCTTTTACATGATGAATCCCCATATATCCAACATTATTGACTGAAAAATAGAAACCTCAAAAATTACAAAACTCAGGAGACATGAAGTAATGATTTGTTCATCTGCATTGCAGTTTGTAGAAAAATCTATTAGAGAGAAGCTTGGATAGCAAATTTCTCAACCTCCTATGACCAGGGCCGGGGCTGAGGACGCCAAAATTCTCAATTCTAAAATCAGAGCATCCTCTGTTTCTGCCGCCACTAGAACACCATCCTCCAGAAGAAAATTGCCCACGATGCCTCTTGAGAAGTTCTTTATCGATTTTATCAAGAACTGCATCGTTTTTCTTGAATTTTCTGGCAAACGGCCGGCTGCTCAGAACCATTTTGCGATAATCTTTGAGACCAAGAGACCTCGGGTGTTGCTTCGGAGGCACATCCCAAGTGATGTAGTGAAGATCATGGTTAGCTGTGGTGTTCTTGTACTCTTCAGAATTGCATATTACTGTCTGGAAATACCCTTCAGGTGATGACACAAAATTAGTGTAGTACAAAAGCATTGTCCTTGGCAGATTTTCCCACCCCACAATGCAGTACTCCGCAAATGATCTTGATAATATGGTCCATGCTGAACCTGCATTTTCAAAGCCAATATAATAACATCAATCAATTATAAGTCTAACCCCTTGAAGAATCTGACTTGTAGAAGGGGGGGGGGGGGAGCGGATTTCAATTACACGTAACTTCTAACAAATCCTACTCATTATGAGATCCCAAAGAGACAGATTTTGAACAGGGGCACGATGATGAGTGCGACTTGGTCCCAGTTCCATAGAAAGAAGACACACTAAAGCAAATGAGTTGATCTGATGAAGAATATGCTTTCAGACTTGTTTAGATCATTTTGAGATTAGTTAAACAAAGAGAAAAGGGGTATTATTTGTAACCCCGACAGCAAGGCGGGAGAGGCACGTGCACTGCTAGAAACAAGGAATGGCGCACGTGCATCTCCTGGATGAACGTATACTCTTGATCCATCCTAGATCCATCTCTGCCCTGCTCTGTCTTCAATGACAAATGAATATTCTTACCTGCTTCCTTCCAAAAACTAATGAGTACATCCATCCCACAAAAAAATTTAAGGGTATTGCCAGAGTTTCGAGTTTGTTCGCTGAGTCTTCAAATCAAGCGTGTGATAATCACTACTCAAGAACACCAGAAGTTTCCAGAGGGGTATACGAGGGCATAAGTAGGTGAGGTTCTTGAAGCACATCATTAATTACACAAAAATGTCCACGATTTACGGGTAACTACTACCTTAATAATCAATGACAACTAAATAAGACATTTCAGCAGCAACGAGCTAGAACCATCCGTAACATTGACGTTGGAACCTTAAATCCCAAAATTCAACCTCATTATGGAAGCACCGATTGACACGTTGATCTTAGGTTTGGTACAAGTATCACGCTAGCACGATGTCTAGAATAGAAGAATACACCGGGACGTATAAAAAGGAGAGAAAAGAGGACAAACAAGTCTAGTCAGAGCCACAGAGGGATCAACCGACAAAAATAAATTATGACCTTGATAAGCACGACAACTGTTATATGACCACTCAATTCAGATCTCAGATTCAGAGCATCACATGCTGTTGAATGGTGATAAGCTAATTAAACATTTTAGGGAGAAATGTGGAATATGCATAAAACAACAACATATTGGCTTGAACAGGATATGCAGAACTGAAGTATGAGGGAGACAAGAAAAACCTGTATAGAGTTTGAAGGATGTCGGCAAACTTCTTTGCTTAATGACCCACGAAATCTCTGATTTATTGCGATAGTAAAGCCCTGGGTCTATGATTATTGGCTTGCCTCTCTTATTCCTTCAAAATGGATATAAGAAAATCAGAACTTTGGGGGACAAAAATAAGACATTTAAACAAGAACGCTATCAGACCAAGAAGACTACTTACAGTTTCCAACCCAGACGACTGCTATGCTGCACGAAATTGATATGCCTTGGCAACTCAGAAAACGCTTGGATCAGATCTGAATAGAATAAGAAAGAAGTCCATCTCAGTTTCATGGCACAATGAAATAAGCAATTACCAGTAACATTTACTCACAAACATACCCAATCAAATAAGAAACTAATAGACAACGAGATTACAATAAAGTAGACTATGCAATGGGTATAAAAGATAAAGGCCACTCACCATACCATCTTGTGTAACTAAGGGATAATCAGAGGCACTAAGATTAATAAACCAGTCCCACTGGCAAGTCCTTAGAAGCAAAGCCATAGCATGAAGGGTGGCAGCAAGCATTGTTGGTCCTCTATAAGTGACCAAATTACGCTTCCCCACAACCCAAACATTCCCCACATCACCAAAAACAGGGTCTCCGGCCACAAACTCAGCAACATCCCTAAATTCTGATTCGGGTGCTCCATAATCTATATGAATCAAATAGTAATTCCCCGGATGGTACAGCGCCTTCATCAACCTCTTGAGCTTTTCGGCGTCTCCTTTGGATGCCGAGATCAGATAAGCAAAAGAAACTGGATACGCTTTGCTGGTTTTTGAGACATTAAAATATTTCATCACGGGCCTGACGCTGGAGATGGGCATGGTTAATCTGGTGGGCATATAAAGAATTAAGAACAACATTGAGGTTAGCATGAAAGAAGCCATGAAAATTTTGATACCCATCTTGGAGAAATTTGCCAAAAGGATAGATTTTTAAGAAAAGGAAGTGAGAAGGGGAGTTCGAGGGGGAAGGAGGCCGGGGAGAATCAATATAGAAAGAGTTTGGCTGGTTTGGATGACGAAAGTGGAAACGGGTAGGAATTGGGAAGAGTGTGGTTTACATTGTGCAGCTTTAGTGGGTTCTTTGCTTTAAGCACAAGGCCTCCATTTGTCAGTCAATTGTCGGTAGGGAGAAGAAATGCGCAGATTCCCCTGGTGCGCTTCTTTTGTCACTGAGGTCCAACTCCTAATGAAAACCAGCAAATAAGTATTCCGAACGAAGCACGTTTGGATTTAATCCTCCAAGGGGTGCACGGAGATGGGGGAAAAGATCTGAGGGTCTAATTACAGTTATAACCTTTACTTATTTTTTCTACGTAAAATGCCCTTTTTAACTTCAAGATGACAATGGTCCAAAAGAAAAACTTCAAGATGACAAGTTTCCTTTATCAAAACTTTCCTCTTTTGATTTCTGATTTTTTTTTAACATAGAATGCTTGGCAAGTCTAATTAGATTTTGTTGGTTCCATATAAATGGTCATTTTATCTGGGATCATGCACCAGAAGAATGTGATCCTGACTATGAATGTGATACGTCCTATTAGTAGGAAGCATCAAACGTTGAAGATGAAGATGGATGGAATGTATTGGGTGTTTTTAAGCTTACCTTATTTCAATTCTACTTCGAGATAAATAGTACATAGCAGTTCATCCTGACGTTGTTCAATATCAATTATTATCTCTGTTTTAAAACAATCATTATCTCCAATTTTTGTTCTGTCCCAGAATAACCATTGTTTTAAGATTTTGATGAAAAATAATAATTCTTATAACACTTATTATTTATCAATATAAAATATCAGTAAATACAATAGAAACGAAGTTGTTAAATAGATAACTTGGAGAGGTAAGGTAAAAATAAAAAATTCTGTTCGGGATTTAATACTACCTCCGGTCCTAATTATAAGAGCCAGTTGACTAATTTGAAGAGATTAAGGAAGTAAGTTGAGTTAGTTATTTGTCCTAAATAGGCATTGTCTTTCCTAAAATGTCCTTACTAATCAAGTGTATTGATTAGAATTATCATTGTTATAAGGGTTACTTTAGAAAAAAAAAAGTATAAATATAAGAGACAAAGTGGATTGAGGTCTTATATTTAGGACCAAAATAAAAGTCAAACAGGGTCTTATATTAAGGAGCGGAGATAGTAATTGATAACTAATTTCTTCATGAGCACGCTTCTTAGACATTTTGTATAGGATCATAGGACTGATTAAGCAGGTCAAGTTTGTACAACTGCAACTATCAACAATGCCGCTTAGATTGATAATTTAGTGCGCCTAACCGTGCTGGCGGGGGAAAACGAGTAGCCTTTATACAACGGAATCTTGGTCACTAATTAGCTGTGTCTGGAAGTTCTCATCGAGTTGATGACGCACGTGAGCCCTAAGTTGTTCGCTTATCCTTCATGTTTTCGGATCACACAATGACTCTCAAGTTTCAAATGCAGCAGGTTTTCCAACAACTTTTTCTTCAACTTTTATAAAAGTAATTTTACCGAGATAAATATATGAAATTTTTTTTATCTTGACTGGCATGAAAACACTTTTTTGGGTTGCTAAACTCCTTACTAACTTGGGCATGCGACTTGCAGAACCTTCAATGATACCTAATACAGCAGAAATTCTTGGCTATAATTATTAATTAGGAGCGCCTGTATATCGAAGGAGCAGAAAAACCCAAACGGCAATATTACGCCAAGAAGTCAAGAACATAATTTGATGCTAAAGGCATTGTTGTGAAAACATTTTCTGCATTGCAAATAAGTAAAGGAATTGCTATTGACAATACATGGACAACTAGAATCCCCTATCATAATCTTTCTGTCCTTTTCTGGACAGACAGGTTTCTTTCTTTCCATCCTGTTCCGAACATGCCGTCAATTCATGCTCATTGCAACGTTCAAACTATAATAGCGCATTAACATGCAGAGAAATTTCCATCAATCAACTATGCGTAGATTTCATTCAAATTCAACAAAGATCATTGCTAGTTTAGCCAGAAAACATTTGAAAGAGACATGAATTTAAATGGCTTTGCGGCAAGAGCCCTGAAGCTATATATTTAGTGGTACAACAAAATTCCAAAAAGCCAGACCTTAATCATTTGGGTCCATGGTGACCTCGTCCACCGCATGCTGTACACATCATGTTACCACTTCCCCCGCAACCTACATGGAAACAGTTACTGCATCAAAACATGGTCACTAATCATGATGCTCAGCTACGTAAGACTTCATGTAGATGAATTCCTTTAGCATATGTTCAGGTGTATCACCGGATTGACCACATTGGGAACCAGTTGGCTTTAAATCATGACAAATCTACCAATGCAGATATGCCAGAGTTTTAAACCTTTGATACATCGTTAAATTATGGCCCAGCTGTTCATTTAAAGATCAATAAAACGGAAAATTTTAACCTAACAGCAGTCCATCTACAGAGCCAAGCAGTTGCATCAGAGAACTGCCTTTACGTCACAAATGGCAACAGAATATCATATATATAAACCCAGCGAATACAATCGAAACTTTGAAAAACACAAGCAGTGTGCAGGAACTTTTGCAGCTGAACACTAACATTTTCACCAGTGAAGCTGTTTGATCAGGAAAGAAGATATACCTAGGCAGCGAACTTTAACAATTATGCCCTGGCTTTCCAATATGGAGTCAACATAAAGGCCTGCACCAGAACAAGTGGGACAGAGCACAGCACCTTTGGCTTGGCAATCAGTGCATCGGAGATTGCTACCGGTATCTTTTTCATCCAAAGATAAGCCAACAGGCTTCTTAATTCTTTCCTCAGGTATAGCCTTATCATAACTAAACAGAGATTCGAGATTACTTCTGCTTCTGTTCCCATCTTCCCTTAAACTTGATACAGACTGAAACACAAAGAAATGGTCACGTGAGACACTCAGAACAAATAGAGCCAAACTTATGAAAATGCAAGAAATGTGGATAAAATTTCCAATGTGATCGAATACCCTTTTTCCCGACTAATGCACTCACACAAGAGTAGGTGAAGATTTAGTTCTGAGCTCCTCTATGTATATATACTAAGATCTGTGACTGGTGGTCTGTTATAAAATAATAAAATCAAAGTATTTTTGAGCAACAACCAGTTGTTGGCCAAAAAAAAAAAAAAAAAAGACAACCCGTCAAAGGATTTGAGAGAATAACAACTGAGTCTTCCATAAACCTTTAAATAGAAGCATTGAAAACAAACTTCTTGATAATTTGAAGATCCGACTTTGTTCGAATTCTTCATGAATACAAGCTAAGATTTTCTGGTGGACAATTCAAGAGCAGCATGTAATAGACAGGCCTCAACAGCATAAACTTTCTTAATCAAGATTTATTTGCCATGCTGAAAAAATGGATTTATCAGGTTCTAACGACTGTTTGACTAACAAATAAATTCATTTAGATTTCTTCGGACAAAAACTCATTAAGAATTTAAGATACAAAAGATCCAACTAATATTTCTGGTCGCACATCAGTGAGGAACACTCTTCCCCTTGTTATGCAGAATTGAAGAAAAATCCATGATCGACCTCTTAGTTAATCCTTCTCTCTCCTTTATCAGCGAATCGCTATCAAACGTGCGATTTTGAAATTGAAACTGTAAGATATAAATAGCACTCCGGGGAATACTGTTCTAGGACGTTATCAATAAAACTAAATGGGACCTCATGTCAGGCATCCAAATATCCAGTCACCAGAGTAGCTAGGATTCAGAATCTGCTCCTAACTTGTTTTGCATACAACTTCGGGCCAATCAAAATTGAAGCCTCATCCGTTCAAACATTTTGATAAAGCAACGAGTTAGCATTCATGACGAAAACATGACAAATACTAGGAAAGGCAAAAAGGAAAAATTCGACTAACCCGGTATGAATTGAAGCTAGAAGCAGAGCCGTTGAGGGAGGCGGCACAAATTTTACGGCCGAACACCGTTTCGTTGAAATTACAGCCAACATTTATCAACTTTTTAGAACACACGAGCGCAGAAACATTCGGGCCAACAATGAATTTTGAGGATGCCATTTTCAGAGAAGCTGAATCCATTGCAATCCAGAATCTTCAAGCCGAACCAGTCCCCCGAGCTTTGGAGTAGTCGCCCGTTCCAACAGCCGGGCTGTTCACCCGTTTACCACCCGTTTTCGCGCTCAATTAAGGTCCTCGGGGATGACGATGAGTATGATGGATCATTGGTGCCGGTTTTAGCTTCAAAATTTCTGGCCTTGTCCGTTAAAGGTTAAACCCACAATTGAGATTGGGATCGTGGGCTTGGATAAAACAAAGTAAATGTAATGAGCCTCTTCAGCCCAATAATGAAAGAAAATGGGGTAAAGAGCCCAAATCGATTCCACCAGAAACTCTCGTATGGTGGGGTATTATCCGTTTGCTTGGCATCCAGCTGAACTGTTCCAAGAAAATAAAAGTTGGCAGTTGGGATGGAAAGAGGAGAAAATTTCGGGGCATGCTACCAGAAATATCACGATTGAATTGGGAAGAACAAACAAATTGTGCTTTAGTGAGGGGAAAGGCCATGTGATGTGAGGAATTAGAGGGGGACTATGTGACACGTTAAAATATCCTTAAACAGACACTGGGAATACTACGGGGAAATATTCGGGGAGACCGAGACCTATGTTAGGGATCATACGTATAAATATGCTTATTCAATTCAAGGAAATCAAGTCCAACACATTTACTCAGCGAACAACACTTAAGAGGTAGAGACACGGAGGAATTTTGAAGTGTGAAGCTGAGTCGGCGCAGAGTGTATATGAGAAGTAAGTTTTTTTTTTTTTTTGGGGGGGGAGGATAAAACAGAAGAGGGAATGAAATGTGGGGAAGAGGGATAAGATAAAGTGCCCGTTTGGAATCACGTTTGGGGCCCAAACGTGCGTCCCCATCTGGCTTCTCATGTGGCTGTGTTTTTAACATGTTTGGATTCATAGTGGGCTAATCTGACTTCTAGGAGAAGCTGATTTGGAGTGCTTTTTTTTTAGATGCTGGTGCGTTTGAGAAAACCGTTAGAATGTTTTATTAGGGTGTTAAATATTTTTACCTACCTGACCCTCCTGCATGATTTTTCTCTCATTTTTAATAATTTTTATTTTCCTTACTTCTTAAATATATAATTTCTTTCTAATAATAAATTAAATTTCTTTACTCTTAATAATTTTTATTTTCCTTACTTCTTAAAAAATAGTCACATTATATATATATATATATCTAATATTAGACATGTACTATTTAATATAATTCATGTTCTTTTAAGTCATTTTACATCTAAATTTACTTTTACATTTATCATTCAAACAAGTTTCAGCCTTTTAAACTGGCTTTTTTTTTAAAATCCAATCCAAACATAAATCACATTATCCTATCTGACTTTTACTCAATCTGACTTTTGGAAAAGTCAGATTGAAAAAAAAGTTACTTTTCCATCACTAATCCAAACACACCCAAAGAAGAAGGGGCGATGAGGTGTAAATTTGAGGACAAGTAAGTCCACATCATCATCTAGCAGACTTCTATGGCAACAAAGACACAGAAACAGAAAAGCCACGTGGTGAGCCGATTGAGTGCGGACTGTGGAAGACTGAAGACTTTACACAAACGTGGGTCCCTTGTTATTTTTGAGGAGTTACGTTCATGCGAAAACGTGTGTATGCATCTGATCTGCTTCCTTCCAGGTTCCTACCTTCATTTCTTCCTTCTATTTTCAGTTCTATATACTCTTTTAAATTTTTTGTATATTCATTGTTTTATAGTCATACTCATTGAGTAGAAGGAAAACAGAAGAATCACGGAGCATCATCTTAGAATGCAAAGGAAAGATATGAATCATTTAAAATTAAAAGCACTAAAAAATTAATTAAAAAATGTCAAAATAATAGTAAGATATAAGAAGCAAGAATTAAAGCAGGTAGCGTAGGTGAAGGGAATAAATAAATGACGTGAAAGGAGTTAAGAAAGGAGAAGCCAGGCTTTGGTTTGCGGTGGTGATCGTCATTCATGGGTGGAAATGGAGACCTGGGGTGGTCAAGGAATTTGGGTTGATTCCTGCCTTTTATACGAATCCATGATGTTTGTTTCTTTCTCTGCAAATTACTCCTTCACAGGTGCTTCTTAACTACCACAAAGGACATTCCCTTACTAGCCGCCATGTGTAATTATGGTTGGCACAACACTATCTATTTCGCTTTCACTCTTCTGCTTCCTTAAATCCCACAACCACATTAGATTCCCCCTGCTCTGATTTGATTCCTTCTCCCACTTGTCACAGTATCCCTCGTATTACAAATCCCATTTGCTTTTTAACTCTTCCAAATCTCTCTCCCCCTCTTTTCTGCATTTACATGGAGAGCACGCGGGACCCATTGCATTCATCAATCCATGGAGCACTAGTCTCTAACGTTAGCTCCCCATTGCTTTGTTATCTGTTAAATTGTTTCCCTCAAGCGAGTTTTTTCTCTGGATATTTCAGGGTTTTTTTTTTCCTTTCTCCTTTTCCATTGCTGCATTCCTGCATATTTGTTTCCTTATTTCGCAAGTTTCCAATCATCTTTCCATTTGAAACTAAATTGTGAGCTTTCCTTATCTCTCATGCCTTCCGCTGTTTCTCTATTCAAGCGCTTATTCTTGAATGTTTCGGTGCTCGTAGTTGTGGCGGCTTTCCTGACTATTTACTTCCCCTCTTCGGAATTCCCTGTTCGTCTGAACCATGCTACCTTTGGCGACGGTGCTGACCATGATTGCAACATCTTCCATAGTTTAGAAGGCTACAGAGCCAAGTGTTTGTACCTAAAAGCCAATGGCCCATGCATTTCACAGGCCTATATTGATTACCTTTTCCTTTTCTACTGCAATTTGGGTCAATTCCCATGGCTGGGTCGCACTCTTCTCTTTCTTTGGCTCCTAATCTTGTTTTACCTGCTTGCTAATACAACTTCTGAATACTTTTGTCCCTCTCTTGAAAACCTGTCGAAACTACTGAAACTGTCCACTAGAATTGCTGGGGTGACTCTTCTTTCTCTCGGAAATAGTGCCCGTGACGTTTTCGCCAACCTCATCTCCTCCAAGGATAGTGGAACTAGCGACATTGGGTTCAATACGGTACTTGGGGCTTCTTTCTTCGCTTCCTGCATTGTGGTTGGAATTGTAAGCATCTCAATTCGTCACAGGGGGATTCAAGTCAGAAAGCACGACTTTGCAAGAGATGTTTGTTTTCTTCTCATGATTCTTCTGTACTTGCTTGTAATATTCATCTCTGGTGGGATCAATTTTTTTGGAGCAGTGGGTTTTACTTTGATATATGTTATGTATTTATTTTGTTATTTGCGTCTCATCCACCTGTTGGAAGGGTGTCTCTGTAGATTCTGAATGGAATGGTAATCCATGTCATGACACAGACTTGAGAGCGCCTCTTCTCGTCAGCATGGAAGAAGGTGTATTTGATTCCAACGAGGAAGGTGATAGAGAGTTTGGCCTAAAAATCAAGAAATGCTGCTGCATGAGATCATTGGTATGCCAAAAAGCACTTTGGGTTCTGCAGATGCCCCTCTACTTGCCAAGGAGATTGACTATTCCTGTTGTTTGTAAAGAAAGATGGTCTAAGCCATTTGCAATTTCTTCAGTAACAATGGCACTGCTTCTCTTATCTGTGATATGGATCCCTTACAAGGAGAATGGTTTCTTCAACAACGATCTAATCTTTTATGGAATTGGATTGTTGGTTGGGATCATATTTGGAGTAACTGCTTTTTTCAAAACCAAGAGCTCAAGGCTACCAAAAAAGTGCCTGTTTTCTTTTGGCTTGCAGGGGGGATTATAGTAAGTGTTACCTGGAGTTACATTTCAATCCAAGAATTGGTAGGTTTGTTAGTTTCACTTGGCTACATATGTGGGATAAGTCCTTCAATTAATATTGGGGCTCAGAGTTCTTGCCTGGGGAAATTCTCTTGGGGATTTAATGACAAATTTAACAATGGCTTTTAAGGGTGGAGCAGAAGGTGCTCAAGTAGCCATATGAGTTGCTTTGCTGGTCCCATCTTCAACACTCTCCGGTTACGTTTGATAGGAAGTATTAAAAATGAGGGATTATGATTGGAATTGCAATTGAAAAAATCTATTAAAAGAGTGTTTAGTATAAGAGATTGTTTGTTATATGGGATTAGCCAAACCCATATATGTGGGATTGGAGAATACCATGAGAGGAAGTGATATTCTCCAATTCCACTTCTCTGAGTTTACCTAGCCCCATATAATAAGTAATTACTCATACTAAATATTATTTTAATAATCTTTTTCAATTTTATTCTCAATTTCAATCCCATATTTTCAATGCTTCGTACCAAACGGGACTTTATTGGCCTGAGCTTGTCTCTAGTAATCTCAACTTGGTCTAAGTATTCATCATCTCTAGTGATCCCTTACGATCCATATATCTTGGAGACGCTGGCCCTTTTAGTTGGTGGATTGGTTTGGGCACTCGTGGCTTTAACAAGAAGAAACATGAGGCTTGATGGAGCATTAGGAGGAGGGCTCTTAATTATTTTCTTCATTTTTTTTTTTTGTTTCTGAGGCTGATTCAGACGCTTGGGCCATTCCAATTTCATATGTTATAGTGGAATGATATTTTTATGGTTATGTAAACTCATTAGCAACGATGTGCTCATCTCCCTGTTTTAAACATCTGAAGAAACATACCAATATCCATCAAGGGGCAGCAAGAAAACGCCAAAAAAGGGCACCCATCACGTTAAATGAGACTTTGTTTTCCCTGTCATCGACGGTGATTCACCAATTGACTCCTCTTCTGTCATTCCAAGTCTTTGCTTGTCTATTTGCAAATTTCATTTATTTCAACAAAAAGAAAATAAATATTTCAATTAGCTAGTGATGGTTTTAGAAAGTTGATATACTTATTTCTTCCTATTTTCCAGTTAATTTGTCCATTAATTTCATTGATTAAAAGATATAAGATTCTAGAGACCAAGTGTTCAACCTAGATTACACTATATCTTGAAATCTAATATTTATTGATAGCCTATACGACTAGAGCTAATCAACTAACATAAGACCAAGTTCATCTAAAAGCAAAGGCAAAAGAGTTGGAAGATTGATGGGTGAAAGCTTAGGTCTCGTTTAGTACAAAACATTAAAA